TTAAATTCATCCTTATCAGAGCGGGTTCCTTCTCCTGCCGGATACACACCTGTCCTGTGAGTTAATTTCTGAGATCAGACTCAGCTCTTACAACTGAAGGGATAACTCTAGCCAACAGGAAACGGGAGTTGAGACACATTGTCCACACATTATATAAATACAATTCCTTTTTCTAGCCTCCACCCTCCTCTCCTGCTCATACTGACCTGCCAATGGCAGTTACTCACCTAGATAGTGTAAGGGAAATTTCGATCTTCCGGGCCACAGAAAGGTTGGGGCTCACACCAACAGATCTGTGAACAGCCACACCAACACTGGAGCCCCCCTCCCCCCCCGGGTCCCCAGTAAGCGTTTCAGCCTCCCCACTTCCCCCAGCCAGGGGGCATAGCCAGTGCCCTCCTTTAAAAAACGGAGGAATATTGGCAGACCGGGAGGGTAAGAAAGCTTCGTTTTCAAATAGCTTCTCGAAGAGACGAAATCGGGCACAGAAAATCTGAAACGTCAGGTTAAGTCGAGGGTGGACCTGAAGAACAGACCTCGGAAGAGAGCCGCTCCTTGGAGGGAAGGAGGAACAGAAAAGAATGGAAGTCCTTTGGGAGAGAAGCTTACATGGACTGGGTTCAAAGGTCACAAAGGCAAAAGGAGGTCAGAGAGGCCAAGGGGAGGCCAGTTCTCCAGGGAAAAGGCTTCGCAGAGTCAGAAGTCACGGGCCAGAATGGAGGCAGCGGGGAAGACGAGACAATTCAAGCTTCCTCCCTGTGGAAAACCTCGGCCTGACCCCGTCTGAAGACACCCCCGCCCTGGGCTCTCCCGTCTCCCAGGCAATGCAGAGAAATCTGGGCCAAGGGAGGGCCGCTCTACCGCACCACGACTCTATGGCCCTTTCGAAGGCTTTCGGCCCCTCTCAGCCCGCGGGGCAGATGCGGCACTAGCGGCGGCAGCGGCGCCGGGAGGACGGCCCCGCAAATCGGAAGCGGATGTCGGCTTGCTTCAACTTCCGCCTCCAGGTGGTGCCCATTTCCGCCCTCATCCTTCTCCGTGTTGAGAGGCCAGCACTTCCTGCATCATAGAGAGAATCGGGCCAAGCAAACATGAAACGGGACCCCCCCCCCAAAAAAAATATGGAGGGAAGGCAAACGGACGAATCCGGTATTATAGATTTCTTTTCTTCATATATAGGCATTCTGGTTATTTTCAAGCCAACCCCCCCCCCCAAAAAAAACTCAGAAATAGCAAAACTTTTACCTTAATACAATCGAAACAATAATGCAACACAAAAACATTAATTTTAGCAGTTTCTTCCAGGGCAAACATTGCCAAATGCTTAATAATCTAAATGGTATTGCGTGAATGCGACCCGTGCTTTCGCAAGAAGTCAGAAAGCATAGTTGTAATTTGGGAGGAGGGGAAGGGAGAGGGTACCTTCAGTAAGAGTCGCAATTGTTCGTGCAGTCATACCGCGCTTCTTCCCAACCTCCGATTTATTAACATTGGTACCTGGCTTGCTCAAACGGCGAGCCCCACCCCAGGGGAACACCAATCAGAAATGTGGCCTGCGATTAACAGTAGCCAATCCCAAATCACCTTCTAAATTTTAAAGGAACAGCACTAGCATTTTCTGCATATTAATATAAATATAAGTTTGGGACTGGATTCATGAGGGAGGAAAAGAATAACAATCTCTTGAGTCCCATCTTCTGTCTTCACCTATAAATGCAATATTTTGAGAAAGGCAAGAGACTACTCCAAATCATAACTCTGAAATCTCTTTATTTTTATTTTACAGATTCAGCAAATTTTCCATTAAATGCAAAGAAAACTCAGTTTGTTGTTAACATTAAGATAGCTTGTACCCAACCCATTGAAGTCACCCCATTTGGCATATTAAGTGGTAGCATACAATGCCCTCCCCTCCCAAAAATCCAGTAGTCTGACTGACTACAAAAATAGGTTTATTGGAGCTGGAGAACACTGGATGAATAGAAAAAAATTCCTTTTGTGTATGAAATTCTACAATCTAGACATATATAAAAGTATAGCTGCAGTGATTATAAAGGATCCTGTAAGCATATATACATGGAATTCTCTGATTTAGATATTTTGTTAAAAGTTTAGGGCCCTATCTAAAAATACCAATTTTCTGAGAAACGAAAAGCAAATAAAAGATCAAGCAAAATTGTCATTTCCTCCCATTCCAGCAAATACTGAAGGTACAATCTTAACAAGTAACAAAAACCCACAATAAATTAAACCATCCACTGAAAAGGGATAAATAGGTATTAAATCATTGATGTCAGGGAGATGAATGTCAACATCATACACTTAAGATTTGTTAAAAGGGAAGGTGTGTTATGAAAAGCTGTTGAGATAAAGCTTCCTTTGGATAGAAATTTCAAACCACAGCTGCAGAAAAGATCCTTTTCAGTAACGCCTCAGATGTTTGTGGAATAGACTCCACTAGGATTTCTTTAAAGTCACTGATCTTTTAAAAAGCCAGTATAAATTTTATGCTTCTGGGGTATAGCAACTGCAGCTTTAATCCTGGCTACCTATCCCTTAGGCTTTAGTCCAGAAGACTAGATTTTTCTCTTAATTCTGAACTTCTTAAATGGCAGAATAAAAAATGTAATAAAATATATTTAAGAAAAACATAGGAAAGAAAATGCATGTTAAGATTCCATTGCTTTAGAGATATTTACAGCTTTAGTGTGCTGTTACTTTGGCAGTCGCAGACCTTAAAAGGTAAGCATTTCCCATTACTTTGTTATTCTGCAGCAAGAAATATATTTGCCAACCTATAATTCTCAGCTGATTAATTTGTTTAGCTTTCCCATTTGAAACTGTTATATTCTTCAAAAAACATGTTTTCTCCTTAAAATTGGAATAAGTTATCTGTCCATACTAATCTACTCCTAGTTTAAGCAATTACTAACTATACTCTATCTGTGGATGTACGTGTAATACATGATGTTAGAAAATAACTTTATATGATCATAAAATCTATCCAATAAAAGATCTAAGCAGCTTGCCTTATAGCAATACCAGATGGAGGAGTATAAAATCAAGAAGCTATGGAAGCTATTTTGCTGTAGCTTCTGGACTCCCATTTCTATGTTCACAGAAGTAAAGCCAAACTCAGTAAAGGCACTTTGAAATAATTATAGCAACCTGAAATTGAATTAAGATGAATTCAAAATAAGTTTCCTAATATTAATATGAGCACACATTTCATCAGGCTAACTAAATTCGGCAGTTCATTGATTTAAAAAATTGCAAATACTGAGACAGATCAGCTGGGTTTTGAATTAGTTATTAATATTAGTTACTAGTTACTTCATATGTAAGCTTTGGTATTCTGGAAGCAGAGTAATTGCAAATTTTTGCATCAGTCCCTGTTGGGAATTTTCAAGGGTCATGCTGCAGTTGTACACATTCCAATACATTACTAAGGTCCACTGAGCATTATAAGCTTTAATTTACTATCCTACTTAAATTTTGTGAACAAGCTCTAAGCTCAATTTTTTTAGCTGAGGCAACAGTTTTAAAAAGAGTGTTACATAAACGATTGTAGCATGTTGTTAAATCAGAATTCAGTAATAACCCCAAATTCTCCAGCAAATATAGCTTAATCTTGCAATTTGAACAGATCATGTAAGACATCATGCTAATTTCATCATTTCTATTGCTAGTCATTGGTATGGGCCACCGTTATATTGGGCAGTGAAGTATTGCCATAGAAATGTTGGAAGGCTTATTCAGCAATTCCTCAGGATAAAGTTCTTAGCATGAATTGACCAGTCTTAAGTATGTATTTTTACCTCTAAGGGGAAAAAATAGTTTTGTGGGAAGGAGTTGGATGAAAATGAAGATTTTTGGAAAATGTATAGATTCACTGAGTACCACATACTGGCATTTCATTCTGCTCAAGGTTACCAAAAGCTCAGCCTCCTGCACTTTATACCAGGGGGTCTTCAAACATGGCCTTTTTATGACTTGTGAACATCAACTCCCAGAATTCCTCAGCCAGCTATGCTGGCTGAGGAATTCTGGGAGTTGAAGTCCACAGGTCATAAAAGGGCCAAGTTTGAAGACTCCTGCCTTATACAAAGACAACACTGCATGGATCCAAGAAATATAAGCTATTTGTGACCATAGTCCCACAAAGACACCATCTGAGAAATCTGTAGTCACAGATTTGCCAATTTCTACATTACAGAAACAGTGTGTGCAGTATTCTTCTGGCAGAATTCAAAGATGGTAGATACCCTAGTTAAAAATAATTACTTCCCATCTTCTGTTCTTAAGATTCAACCAGCATTCCAGTTCTCTTTGAATGATCATTTGTTCAGCGACCACAAGTTGCACATAGTGCTTGGAGCCTGGCTTGCAATTTTGACATTGCAACATCCTATGGTAACAAGATTGCCATTTGTAATCTTCACTGCCAGCTTCTGACAGTCAATGGGGAACCCAGCAAGAAGTTGCAAATGGTGATCACATGCTGTTGCACTTAATGCCAGCTAACAGAAATGTCAGAACTACAGTAAGTGGCAGTCAGGTGACACTGCATTTTATATCATTTACTGACAAATTCCAATCCCAATTATCATCGTCAAGTAAGGATTACCTGTACGTTACAGATAGGTTTTTGATACTGCGAGCATCTTTGATAAATTTTCCTTTGAAAAGCATGTTAAACCATCTTAGTTTACAATCAGGGATTTAAAATTGAGCAAGTCGCCCCAATGACACCAGGCAATTGGAAAAAAAAAATGTTTTAATTATGAGAGACAACACTAGAGAAATAGTTGTCCATACACACAGCGTAGAAGAAAGGAAAATACAACAAAAACAGGCCCACTGTTTTGACAGCAAAACTCCTTTTAGCAAAAAATCTGAAACATCACAGAGAAAGGAGGGAAGGAAAATATGGGATAAGAGACAACACTTCTACTACAGAGTAACCATCATTGGGAAACCAGTGGGGGGGGCATGGGTGGGGGGGGGGCTGATGGTAGGTTTAGAAAAGGAAGGAACTGGGAGGATAAATGGAAAGGGGAAGGGGAAATACAGATTTTGGCCATAAAGTATAAACAGGCGACGCTGCTATAGGAGCCTCTCTGGCCAGCAAGTTGCTCCTGCCTCCACAAAATCTCCTCAAGGCTGTTCCAAGGGCTGGGCTACCAGAAGTCTCGGCGATGATAGGAGTCAGGATCGCAGTACTTGGTCACAACGACCCGGTTTGCAAACTTGCGTCCAGTGAGGCCTTGCATGGCCTTCTGACAGTCGAAGACAGATGTGAACTCCACAAATATCTACAAAAAGAGCGAAGGGACAAAAGAGAAGACAATTAGTGGTACATTTTTTAAAAACTTGACAATTAAAGGATTCAAATCTGGTCTAGATCATACATATAAAAATGCGAGTAAGAAAATAAACTGAAGCAACTGTAGCTCTATTGTAATTTGAGTCTCATGAAATGTTTCTTCCATGCTTCTAATCTAATTTACTTACCATACTAAATTTGTAGATAGCTGCTTTTATGAACTGATCACCACCTTATTATTATTAGAGCTACCCAGTTTTATACTGGCTGATTTAAAACAGATAGTACCTAGCCAATCTTTAACAACTAAGCAGGTTCTGATGTGCCTAGTACAGGGGTGGGGAACCCTGGCCCTTTTATGACTTGTGGATTCAACTCCCAGAACTCGTGAGCTATCCATGCTGGCTAAGGAATTCTGGGAGTTGAAGTCCACAAGTCATAAAAGAGCCAGGATTCCCCACCCCTAGTACATGCATGTAAAATCACCAGTCCACAAATGTCTGTGAAGATCCAATACAACTGATGAAGCTTCCAGGATAGGAAGCAAAACATTTTTTTTTCTCAAAAAAAAAATCAGTCCAGTTGTTGTTTTTTTAAAATAAAAACCACTTTTGTTACCCAGTCTACAACCAAATGGTTTACTTAACAAAAACCCCACTACCTTTTCAATTTGCTTTAGATATGGGATACCAAAAGTTTCTGCAAAGGCAAAAAAACCCAAAGCAATTCTTGGACACCAAGCCACAATTAATGAAATCCTAATTTGCATTCCCATGATTCAACCTCTTCATTCCTTAGTGGATACGTTTGTGTTTTAGAGCAGAGCCATCTGATTGAGCACTTCTATATCCCACATATACCTTAGAGCTCATGAAGCTAAATAAATACTTAAGAACAGAAGCATTCTATGTTAACAGAGCAATAGCTTCTTCATTTCCTTCTAAAACACCATCCCATCCCGCCAATCCTACAACCATTAAGTACCTTTCCACAGCCAGGCACCTCAACTCCATCAACAGGCCGGGGGATTTCAATGGATTTGACAACACCGTATTTGCTACACTCATCACGGACATCTTCAACTATCTCTTCATATTCCTCATCATCCAGGAGCTCCTCAGGTAATACCATATTCATGAGGCACAGCACCTCAGTTGGATGACCGCCCATCTGTACTTGTGAACTCATTAGACCCGGTACTTGCAGGGTCACTGGGGTCTGGTTTATTGTACTCTATAGGGGCAGCAAGAGAGGAGAGACAAAGCCACAGAGGAATTCAACAATACAATCATTTAAACTGGCAATCCCAAACAGACTCAAACATTCTGTATTCTTTCTTTACAAGCTCTGATTTTATTTTCTGGATGTTTTTTCAATTTCAAATATACCAAACAGCTCCTACTAATTCTATTTTAAAACCAAGTCCCAAAATCTGAAACTCTGAAAAGTGTTACTTCTCTGTCAACAAAATAGCTACTTTATGTTTCCTATGACTGGCAAAAATAAGCAAAGCAGAAATAATCATTTCTGATTCTCAAAAATGTAATAACTTTTGGCTATACTGTAATTCTTTGGGTACTGGTTACTTTGGAAACTGGTTTTTCAGTTCACCAGAAATCAGCATGATGCCCTATTCTTCTAATATATGGCTTCAATACATTAGCTGATCATACCAGCAATGTCTTTATAAAGACAATATTACCATTTCATTTTTGGTTTCAAATTATCCTGGGTCCATTGCATATCTGGCTAGATAGGTTTAATATAAAAATAAGAATTGAATTCAGAAATAAACGTGATGTAAACATTTTATTATTACTGCTCCCATGTACAAGTACAGAAAATAAAGTCTATGCACTAAAGAGACCTTTATGAAAACCAAAAAGAGCCTCCACCATCTAAACAAGAGTGTTTTAGACTATCAGGAAGCTTCCTGGAACACTCAACCAGAAATTGGTGGCAGCAGCTGAAGGGAGGGAGTGAAAGTGCTGGAAAGACAATGGGGACAGTCAAGCCAGCAAGACAGCTGCATTGGGAGCTTCTGGGTAGAGGAGGAGAGAAAGAAGGCAACACACACCAGCCTTGTCTTTCTCATTTGAATTATGTTTCGCCTGAAACCCAGAGCCACCAAAGATGTACGATATTGCCAAGCCAAGAGTGATATGAAACAGCCACAGCTGTTCCAAATTTGAAGCATTTTCCCCACTTCATGCACACTTATTTCTGAGATAATCTAAAGCAGGCATGTCAAACTGCTGGCCTGCGGGCTGGACGAAACCATGCCCACCCTATTGCCGGCAATGGGGGAAAAAGTTGCGATACGTTCACACGATGTCACGAGTTTGACATGCCTGATCTAAAGGGCCTGGGAACCTTCTTTGGCCTGAAATTGCTTCTCTCTCGTTAAGCAAGGCAAGAAACAAGTAGTTCCCCTATGCCTGCAACCATTGGCATTTGACAGTATTAATAAGACCAATCTTCTAACTTTCAGAAACAGAACCTGCAAATATATCCTGGAAAGGTTGTTCTTTGGTACTATTTTTCCCTCATCCCAATCCCTTCCCTTCCTTACCAGGGTAGCATTCTTGGCTCCCACACTGGCTCTCTGCACCAAAAGCTTCTTGTCACCCAACTGCATGCCATTCAACCCCGCGATGGCCTGCGAGGGCAAAAAAAAGTGAATCCAGACACTTCAAAACTTGAGCCTCTGAAGCCACCAACCTCACACCCCTCTGCCCCAGGCTCCAAAACACATCCACACATTCATACACAAAAAGTAGCTTCTTTTATGCCCCCCCACCAGATTCCTACCTGAACTGCACTGCTCTTGGATTTAATTACCACATTTAGTTTATTTACCTGCCGGGCCTCAAAATCAGCATGTTTTTAAAAAATAGATCTTGTTGGAAGGGATTAAGATGAGTCAACAAGACTGTCTGCATGAAGGAGAAGAGCAAAGGTGAGATTTCAGCCTCAGCCAAATGTTGCCAACAAAGACAGAAAATTCTAAAATGATGCAGATGAGACCACGTATTTCTCAGAATGAGAATTCCACTGATTTGAGGTTGTCATGCTTTGGGAGTTTACATCTAACCAGTCCAGCCCCAATAAAGAATTTAGTATCAGGTTTTACAATATTGAGAATTTGTTTTCCACACAGACCAATTTCAGAAGCAAGAATATGAGGCCAAATAATTTCCCAGCTACAATATAGAAACAGGTTTATGAAAGAATGCACATTTCACAATTAAGTTATCAATTAATTTTAAAAAAAAATCTGGCAAATTTACTAATCCTTTTCCGCACAGAAGAATCCAGTGGATGAACGGCTGGTTCAGGCAGGGATGGAGCAAAATACATATCAAACTACAACTTGGCCAAAATATTTCAAGTTTATGATCTAGAATTTGTATTTGTGGTTGTGTAACTTCAAAATACACATATGGGCACAAATTTCCTGCATCTAATTTTCTCAGAGACAATTTTCTAATAACTTGTTTCTAGAGAAAGTAAGAGTATAAGACACAGAATCAAGAGGGGAAAAATGACAGTTTTAAAAATAGTTATTTTACCAATATTTGGTACAATTATACATCTGTCTAGTCAGAAAGTAATGTTCATTTATTCAGATGATGTAATCCTCTTTCCCTTAATGCCACCTGACCCCAGGATCATCCCTTTTCCAAAGAAAATGCTCAACATTCTATTTGCAGGTTAAAATTTTAGGTCTTCTTGGCAAAATGAAATTGTTATAACTTGAACTATATATTTTAAGAATCTGTGGAGTATATAAAAAAGTCTCTCCTGAAGAACCAAGTATCTATCATTGGTAAAAAAAAAAAATAAGGTTCACTAAAAATAAACCTTATTTAATAGACTCTTTCAGATACTTGCTCCCTTCACAGGATTTCTTGAAGAGTCAAATTGGGACTTTTGATTTAATATAAATGTAACTGAAATTACATCAGACAATGTTTTCCATGTAATCAATAATATGTCTTTGTACTGCATTACAAATTTGATGGCAACCTTAGGAAGATCCATAAGGTGTGTCTATGGCTTTCTGGGGCCCAAGGTGTGCAGTTGCTATGCCTCTGTAGAATTATTTTTACAATTAGGGCATTTATCTTAATATCTAACCAAAAGTAATTAGCTGATGTTCGGGCAAGCTGTACTGCTTCCTCATATAAAATATATTATATATAATATTTTAATATTTAAAAAATGAGAAAAGCCTGTTAGCCTTTTCAAAGCCTGCAATTTGTGGGGTATCACTGGGTTGAATACTTTTACTCCTCCTCCTATTACTACATGGACAATATTCAGTTGTGCATCTCAACAAAGCAAGCTAGGTTGTCCTGGTGTCTGGAGGCTCTGGGGAGGAACATGCTCAAACTCAATCCCATCAAGAGTAGCTGTAGATACTTGGACTCTCCCAGTTCCAGGGATCTTTGATTCTGAATGGGATCACACTCTCTTTCTGGATCGGTGCACAATATGGGGGTCTTCCTGCACTTTCAATTCCTGTTTAAGGAACAGGTAGCCACTGTAAGCAGGAAGTTCTTTGTATGGGTTTTGCTTCAGATGCAACCGTTTCCAAATCATGAGACTCTCCTTATAGTCATACATGCCTTGGCTATCTAGTGAGTAGACTTACAATTCGCACTATGCAAGGCTGCTCTTAATGATTATCAGAAGCTACAATTGGTCCACCTTGCAGTGACATAAGGAACAGATGAAATTATGCCCCTGTAACAAACCCCTTTGCTTTATGACCTACACTGATTATCAGTAAACTTCCTGGTGCAATTCAAGATGCTAGTTATTACCATAAAGCCCTCCATCTCATAGGTCCTATCCGAGGGGCCGTCCATCTCTTAATAGTGTCTACCTGTTCTCTATAATCAGATTTGGCTTGCTTTGGGTTCCACTGATCAAGCAATATCATCTTGCAGAACCCAGGAAATGAACTTTCGGTTACTGAACCTACACCTCTAGAACAGGATCCCCCAGAGATTCATACAGTTTTCACCTCACCCAACTTCAAGTGAACTCTAAAACCCTGCCTCCTCAGATTAGGGTGTTTGACAGGCCCCTTTGGCCTGGGAATAACACAGAAAGTGTTTTTTGTATGCTTTCTTGGGGCTACTGTTACTCTTTTTGCAACATTGTTGTCTTCTTAATCTGTGAAGCCATTTTGGAGGTTGGTGGCCTAGGAAGTTAGAGAGGTAAATATCCAGTCCACTCTCAGATTTACTATCTGATTTTGGATCTCATCCAAGATTTTAGCTTTTGCTAAAACCTCATAGCTTTCTCCTTGATGCAGAGAGACCAAAGGAGGGGAAGGGAGAGCATGGGAAAACACACTTCCCAAGTAGCATGTGGGAAGAAAGACTGCACGGGACAGGAAGCAGGTGTGTGGGGGATTTTATATATATATATATATATATATAAACATGTATCCATACATACTAACAACGGCACTCAATTACAAAGAAACACATGCATAACCCTGATGGAGATCAACCTAAAAACAAGAGCTTATGCTCTGCATGCAAAGTTACCACCGACACGCTCTGAGCCTTATTGGGAATTGTGGGGTGTTTCCTCTCCACCACAGGTCCCCCCTCTCCAACGGGGCAAGGGGAAACTGGGGTGCTTTTCCTTTGTTTTATTGTTAAACTATAAATGTCAATACTTGCATTTTACAACTCCCACTGGAGTCAGCAAGCATGTCTGCTGATTACGGGCCTGTTCCTCCTCCCTCCCGCTGTAACAGAAAGCACAGCGGGAGAAAGGAAACATAGTTATTAGGGGTGCAGAACAGATAATTTACTGGGGGGGAGGTAGGGAAATGGGTGAAATGCACTACGGACCCGGCTCTTCCCTGACTGGTGAGGGGAGGGCTTCTTACCGGCTCTCGGTCGGGCACAGCGGCCAGGGTCTTCGCAAAAAGGCCGAAGCCTTCTCCGACTAACATTCGGGGAGAGTTGTTGTTTTTTTGGGGGGAACAAAAAGCAGAAGTGATCAGAAAACTAACTCGATGGTGTCTGCCGCTAAGTCAGCAGCTGTGCTGTAAAGGAGAGAAAAGCTGGCACCCCCTAGAGGGGAGGAGGAGAGAAAAAAACACCCCACCTGCTCAAAGGACAAAGAACCCCCCTCATCCCACGGGAAGATCGGCGGGCCGCTGCAGAGCAAAAATGAAAAGAGGATGAACAAGGGAGGCTGGCCCTACCTGGTCCGTGACATTGATGTCCACATATTCACAGAAGGCATAACCTTTGGACAGGCCAGTGGCACTGTCCTTCACCAGATTAAAAGCCTTTAGAGGTCCAAAGGAAGTGAGCAATTCCTTGACCTGATGGAGAAGAAAAAAACAATGTTAGCAATTGTCATCATACCAAATACAAGCTTTCATAGCAGCATGAGAGCGTGAAGAATTAAAACTAGTCTTTAAAGACTTATCTGGCTTTTGTAAAAAGGCTATTAAAATTAGTAAATATTTCAGGAGAAGGATTTCCCATTAAATGCTAGCTCAAACTGGTTATTAACTGACTTAAACTGGCAAAGGATTACACTGAGTATGAAATATGTCCCACCTGGCTAAAACATAAGGAGAATGGAGAATGAAACACTTGCCCATGTTATCCTGAATTATGTAATATACCCAGACTGACCTGATCATCATTAAGATAGTTTGGCAGACCCCCAATGAACAGTTTATGAGCAGAATCTGGGACCACTGTGGAAACGACACCTGTAAGGAAGTGGGTTGACATGGCAGGAAAATGTATGAAATTATACATACACTGCATACAACATTGCAACATTTCCCCCACCCTATATATATATATATATGACCAGCGCTTTATTCAGCAGAATTCTGATAAACCCACCTGGCACATAAACTGATGGGTTTTCAGACATGCCAGGAAGTGGTTGATAATCATGGGGCCGTCTGATCTTCAGTGACTGTCCCTGGAAAATAATCCCATCAAAAGCCATGGCCTGTGTAGTTTCATCCACAGAACGGAACTGGAGCAAAGAAAAGGAAAAAACAAATGGGAAAATCGGTGTCATAGTCTCTTATAGAATGTATGGCTATTGCGATTCTGATCTCAGGACTTTTCACCTCACCCATCTTCAAGTGAACTCTAAAACCTTGGGCAAGAAGCAAAATAGGCATCTCTAATTAAATTCTACACTTATATGAGGTTAGATAATCAATGCCCGGTTATGGAAGCAGTAGACATATCTTGCAAAATTTACAAGGAATGAAATTCTCACCAACAATCTGGAAGGTTGTAGAATACATAGAACAAGGAAGCTATTATTTTGTACACCCAAGGAGACATGCCCTGAGCTGAAGTGGCGATTTATGCATGTGTCCACAAGGCATTTAGAGTAGATAAAATACACAAAAAAATATGAAGTTAGAAGTCAAAGAAGCTCAAGAAACTCAGCCAGATGGAATCTAAGCCTCACATAACCACTACATTAAGCATTTTTATTTTAAGAAGATTGCAATTTTTTCACAATTCTCTTGGGGTTGATAACTCATATTTAAATGCATATTCATGTTTATCAAGATTAAGGTTCCAAATAATTCAACTTCTTCACCTTTAAGGTCCACAAAATTATTTATTTTTTGGGAGGGCAGGAATACCGGGTTTATTTCTACAAGCCACCCACATTCCATCTTTTAATTCTATCTCCTGTCCATTAATGCATGACATACAATCTATTTCATATTAGCTTTTTTCATGTTTGTACAAAGTCCATGTTTTACTGTTCAATTAAATGCAGACATTCAGCAAAGGGTAGCATCAGCAAGAGATGCCTTTAATTAGAATAATTAAATAATGAAACAAGTTTGCAGCACAATTGGAGTGCTCAAATTAGTCCCAAATTCTAGAAAACAATGCTATTGAAAGAATTTGTCAACTGAACAAATAAGCAAGACACTATTTCTAAAATATCTTGCATCCAGTAAAGGTCACTCCCACTGTCTCCTGGCTTTTCTGTTTCATATATTGGAAAAGAATGGATCTTTCCATCTGGTTTTTCAGCATTTGCATAAATTACTATTGTAAATGTTTCCTCTCCTACTATCACATTATTCTATGGAAATCTTTTCTAAAAACTGTATTTACGTTTTTAATTAAATTTATTAACATGCAGAGGCTGGATTACCCTTACACCATCAAGCTCCACAGTTGTGGCTTAAGATCACAGTAAAACATATAGAAAGAGAATAGCTCTTATAGAGCCTCATACATAATCAAACTTTAGAACTCATGAACATGGACTACCTATGTTATATTTTGTACATTCAACAAGTCTATATGAAACAATTTTACGCATTTGCTTTGATTTCTCCAGAATCATATCTGTGCGAGTAAATCAGTAGTGTTTTAAACCTGNCAAAGAGTAGATGTATGATATAAGCTGGAATGGCAACCTGGACCACAAATAGATTACAAAATAACATTTCCTACTTGCCTGCTATGATGGTAGCAAACTGTGAAGCTATGAGGATTGCAGTCCCATACACTATTCACTTAAAGAGAAATGGAAAACTCTTTGGTCTTTCTTTTTCTTTTTGGTAGGGATAATTAAATAACAAGCAACCATATTTATTTCTCTGGTCATTTAGGTTTTAATACATCTCCCTCTACTAGATATAAGCACCACTGAGCTAGTCAGGACTGCAAATAAAATATGCTGCTGCCCAGGGTCTAGTGGAATAGCAGCCATAACAAATTTAATGAAATAATAATGTCCCATTCCCATATCCAGATGTCTACATCAGAATTCACCTCTTCAGACTAACAACATTGATCAAATGTCAGTATCAATTGGAAAAGACAAATTTAAAAGATGCCAAGAAAAGATACTATATTAAACTGAGCAACTCACTGACTCAATGTAGTCATTTTGGCTCATAATGAATGAAAAGCAAGAAATGTCCTTTGAAAACAGCATCCTGTTATCTGTGTCACATAGAGAAAAACAGTTCAGCTGCTTTTTCTGTATGCTGAGCAGAGCTTCAAGCCACCATTTAACCAATTTTGGCAGTAGCACTGAGGATGGTTGTTTCTATTGCACCCAACCTCAAAAAAGTGAATGGCAGCAACCCCAAATCAAACAGTTTTCTTTTTAAAGACAAACACTAAAATGTGTGGGGATAAGACATGATCCGATAGGAAGGAATATTTAGAATCTCCTTTCAGTCTGGCTACAATTCCCATCTGTATATCTGGAAGGTACCAGTTCAGGGTAAGCAAAAATTCATTTCATGTGATTCGCTGATGAATAGTTTGTATCTATCAAATTTGAGTCATTAAGATGCCAGGTGATAACAACAGTTTGAGCATGGCTGCATTTAGAGATTCAGTCAGCTCTTCCAACTTAAACGTCCAGTATTCCCTTTGCAACTCTTCAAATTCAATGGCAAAATGTCAAATATGTAGTTTTTGATCCAAAAATGACAAAATAACTGAGGTGAAATTCCTCTGAGTAGGGAAGCACTTCCATTTCCATTCTTACCCCCATATTTTTGAAAATAAAAAAGAAGAAACAAATACCAAACCAGCCTGCTTTTTCTGGTGGTGTCACTGAAATTGAACACTTGTTGCAGCAGCCAAAAGTTTCAATGCTGAGCAGAGATAACAGAGCAAGCTAACAAATACCTCAGTGATTCCAAAAGGGATATTGCCAACATAGAGACGTCGAGCTTGTCGCGTCATTTGGCTGCCGACTACAGGCACAGGTGTAGGTGTTACTGCCAGCCCATCTGGAGTCATGGTTGGTAGTAGGGCTGTAGCTGGAATTTGTCCTGCAGCTAGAAATGAAAAAGTATAATGAAAATTACCAGTTCTGATTCTCCTGATAAAAACATTATATATTGCGAAAGTCTTGATGACATAAATACAAAGGATTAAGGATGTGCAAAATGTACCATTATGAAACATGCCGACCCCAAAACAGGCCTATGTTGTGTGTTACAGAAGTGGTTTAAAATAGATCTAATTTGAAGGTAAGAGCACTTTCAAAACACTCAGAATACCTTATTCTGGAATCAGAACATTTTGAAGAGCCCAAAACAATCTGTGGCAACAGTGAGAGTTAAGGTGTTATAAAAACATACATGGAATGATGAAAGAGAACTAGCAATCCAATTACTTTTCAAAACACATGAAAGTATTAATTTTGTTATTTTTTCACTAAAAAATAACCATCTATTCACCAGCAAAGACCACAGTTATCTTTTTCCATTATGCCCAGTAAATCATCACCCAAAATGCACCAGATACAGGAAAAATGCTCCCAAGTTGAAACAGAACATTCTGATCACAACATGGATTTTTATAATTGTTATGTCAAATTGGGGAACTCCTAGGCTGAGGCTTTTCAATGCCATTTAAAGGCCTTTTCAATGCCTTTAAAATCATGTGTTCCTTTTTTTATTAATTTTTACCCCACCTTATTACTTTGTAAGAAACTCAGGCAGCCAATTCCTTCCTCCTATTTTCCCAACAACCCTATGAGGTGGGCTGGGCTGAGAGAGTGAATGACCCCAAATCACCCAGCCAGCTTTCATGCCCAAGGTGGGACTAGAACTCCAGAGTTTCCTGGTTTCCAGGCCAGCACTTTAATCATTATATCAAACTGGTTCACACATACTCACTGCTTCTTCCTTCTAAGCAGCAGTCACAGAAATGACAGCCTATGGTTTGTTTAAGATTAATAACATCATACAGCTCTGCTACTGAAAAACACCAGCCAAATTTAAATATGAATTTGATCTATGATTAATAAAAACTAGATGTTCTGTCACATAAACCACAGAACAACCTTTGTTAAGCTCTGTGGTTAATGAAATCCAGAAGTAGCAGTTAAAAACATGCTTATTGTTAAATCACAGACAAACAATTTTGTGGCTATGACTTGCAGAAAGTATTGGATATGCCTTCATTTGACAATTAATAGAGTTTGCAGTTTGATATAGCACTTTAGCTCCTATGCACTCTTGTGGGATTCTGCACATAGGTACATTTCAGAAACGGCCTATTAGACATGGTTCTTCAACCAGCCCTTTGGCAAGGACAACTGACGTCATTTTCCTCTTTTTCCCTGTTCCCATCCAGGTTTATTTGGCCTGCTATCTCTGTTCTTCTGTTTTGTATTGTTTCTGTATTTCTAGTTTTAAATGTTTTTAACAATTTGCAAACTGTCCAGAGTTGCTGAGAGGCAAGCAGCTTATCAATGTAATAAATTATTACCCCCATTTTAAAATCTCATTATGGTATTTTTATGCATCGTTTGCAGCAGGATGGAAGGGCAACAATTATAATTATTGTAACTCAAGATACAAAAATCCAAAGATTAATAAAAAGAATTTCACCAATGAAAGTTATAAGACATCGATAATCAAATTCATGGATGTTAATTCAACTGCAAGCCTTACAGAGACTGGTGAGACATGTTTTAAGGAGACACAGATGAGATACTGAGGGAGGCCACTCAAGGTAGATGTGCAATGAAGCAACTAGCGAGTAGGGCCACGCATGCTCTCTATTACTGACCTGCCCAAAGTTCAAACTGCCAGGGAAGGGACAAAAAGCCGTTACCAGAGAGATCAAAACTGCTTGCTTCAGATTTTTAAATTACGCAAGCTGCCTATCCCTGTTCTAAAACTGAGTGAATCAAGGTGACTTAAGCAAAGGGAAGACTTACCCTGCATAGCTTTATACTGCATGGGTGTAATGTGCTCAAAACCTGGAGGAGGGACATCCCAATACTTGCGGATTTTCTTCTTCTTCTCATGCCGAGGAGAACGGCTGTAGTGGGGAGCAAGAGTAAAAAGTTAGTAGGAAGAAAGAAAAAAAAACATACTTTACTGTAATCTTAACATTAAAATGAATTCCTAGTCAAGTCTACGCTTATTCCAGTTGGGATATTATACACGTAATATCCAGGATCAATCTTTTTAATTTAACAACCCCTACAATTAATTCTGATTCTTGCATTGTTTCCTTTAATTTTAGGGTGTTTTTTTTTTTAGTGAAGCCTCCTATGGCTTTTTGTTGTCCCTGGCAGCACTAGGAAGAACTGGCAATGCTCACCTTAGAGGACCTGACAGGCTTAGAGGAGATCTGAAAAGCAAAAACAAAATGGGTTTAAAGTAGCCCCAGAAAAACATTCATAGAAATTTAATAACATTAATTTAATAGCTTTGCCAACCTTGCAGCTGTGAGCAGAGGTGCAACTAATGTAGACAAATGAGCAGTGTAAGAAAAAAAGTTCCAGAAAGAACTTTATTCATTTATTATTGTGGCATATGACATTTCTAACTGGGTTTAAAAAGTGTCCAGGCACAAATACCTATATCATGTGTATCCATCACCAAGGACACTGGATGCCAGTTATTAATCAGTAAGAAGAGTGTTTGATTATCAATAATAAAATTCCAGGGTTTTCAAAGGATAAAGCTGTTTCAATCACATACATAAGATAAAGATACAGCAAAATACTGCAATAGTCCTGCTGGCCAAGGAAACAAAAGTTTAAAAACAAGGAGAAAACCAGAACTATAACTGTAAAGCAGTTTGTAGGCTTTCCAATCCCACATTTTACAAAAAAGATATGGTAAACAAAAATTTAATGTCAAAAGCAACCTAATAGTTTCTATTGTATTACATTTCTCTGTTGCTCCTTTCTTTTTAGTCTCCTGAAGCTTTGTTAAATTCTTCATTTCCCAACTCACCCAATATGCAGAGGCAAAATAGTTGGCAAGACTACAAAGGATGCAGTACATAATTTACAGAAGATACTGCTTACGTGCAATTTCAGCATGTTCTCGTATAGCTCTGACATTAACTACTTTTATTTTGGCGATCCCTGAACACACTTTCGTAACAAATTTAGTTTCAGCAGAGTAACTAATCATTCATTTCCAATGATAATTAATTAGCTCCATTTGCCAATTACAATATTACAAAAATAGACTCTTGGTCTCTAATAATCTGGATTATTAGATATTATTATGGTCTCAAAGAATGTTCAAAATCTGTTTCTCTACATTTACAGTTTTCAGAAAAATCACTATTCTGCATAATTCTGAATAGCAAAAGGATCCATATTTCTGAGGTTTTGCCTAAGATTCTCTACTCAGTATAAAAATGTTGTTGAGGATCTGTACCTGCGCCTCCTGCGATCTCGTGAAACACTGCGCTGATCTCTGTTGCGCCTGTCACGGCTACGACTGCGACGTTTCCTGTCACGACTCCGTGAACGACTGTGGCTGCGTTTACGATGACGATTCTCTTTATCACGTTCTAAAGGCAACAGGATAGAACACAGTGAGCCATCAGCTGCTGCTTCAGAACAGAGAACATATCTCCTCTGGTTGTTGCAACCCTTTCAAAGGAGAACATTGAGGAAAAGAAACATTGCCAAGAAGAAACTGATACCATGATTGGATCATGTCTGTTGTATAATCATCTGAATTATCTTAATTGCCCCTGGAAAATTGCAACAACAAATGGATCAAACAGGAGAAATAGAGACAATAGATTAAGTTGTTTTATAATTTCTCAACATTGATATGGCACACAACTATCTCAAAGAACTATCTCAAAGTTTATCTCCAAATCTAGCAAGCAGAGTGTTTGTTTGGCTCAATTTGGAAACCCTTGATGCATACCTTGAGACACACATTACTTTCCATGATATTTTTGTAACATATTCTCAAGGAGCAAAAAATGAGGTAATCTAAATAAAATTTGGTGTCAACAATTTAATTTCTTTAAAAGTCAAAACCAAGTAATCTGTTTTCTATTTTAAAAAAACACTGAGGAAAATCTGGGCATAATTCTACCCAGATTTTTTAGATTTTTAGATACAAACACTACATAACAAAAACAAAGTAAAAGAGCATGAGGGAAAGGGTATCAAATAATATGCCTGTCTGCTTCTAAAATATATCAATAGCTATAATTGCAAGAATGCAGGATGTTATTTCAACTAATACTGCTTTCTAATAGTTCTGAACTACTATGAGACCTACTATAAGAGGGGTATGGAACAGAATTAGATACAAAACAATAGATCTTAAACAAAGAACTGTTCTGGAGACCGGAGAAGACTGATGCAGCTGCACTGGACACAAACAATGTTTTAGAACAAGCACAAAATGTTATTTGTGTGGTCAATGGGACTGTTTTAAGATTCTTTGGTAACAGGCATACAATACAGAAATTTCTGCGTTGAAAACACTCATGCAAAGCAGAAAGTCCTAATGGAAGTGAAAACAGGAAAGCTTCAGTTTTAACTAAGGATCTATAAAACAATATTTTAAAAAAAACAGCATGCTTCTATTTCTATATATTAGTCATATAATCCAAACTACTGGTAAGTCCAGTGTTATCATTGGACCTGCAGTGCTAAACATTCTTATGCCCTAGTTTCACCATCAAGAAAGCTTAAATAAGGACTCACATTGCTTCCATTTGGTATACCCAAGATGTCCAAAACGGTCTCCAGTTTTTTTAAAAAATGGACTGAATTCTAAAAAACTGGTGAATGCTTGTACTTTCAGAAAGGGTGGAATGGATTTCAGGAAATCCATTCTGGGGAGCAAAGAGGCAGCCTCTGAATTATACTGTTCAAAAGCAGAACATGAATAATTTGCATTCTTAGAACTACACCCGCTGTTTTGCTTCAATGCTAGCAACCAGGCGGTGGATGATAACAAACTTGGCCTAGGAGTCTGTGAATTATTGTGATTCCCACCAAACAGAAATAGGTATGTCAGTAGGGAGTGAAATCAGGAATATAGTACTGTAGCTTAATCCAAATATTTTGATTGATACAAGGAAACCTCTACTGCCAAGATATTATTCTATGATGTTTTCTGGAAAAAGTATAGACATGTTGTATACTGGTAGTCTTCGATTTACCACCACTCATTTAGTGACCATTCTAAGTTTCAATGGCATTGAAAAAAATGACATGACCAATTTTCACATTTACAACTGTTGCATCGTCCTGGGGTCATGTGATCACCATTTGTAACCTTCCCAGCCATCTTCCCACTAGCAAAGTCAACGGGGGAAGTCAGAATCGTTTAATGACCACAAACTGAAGTGATTCACTTAATTGTGGCAAAGAGATCAAATGAGGCAAAACTCATTTAACAACTGCCTTAACTAGGGAAATTTGGGGCTCGATTGTGGTCGTTAGTCTAGAACTACCTGTACTGTACAATTTAACCTCTGGCGCCTCCAACTCGGGAGTAGAAAAAGGCCCCCATCTGAAGTCCCCTTGGAACAGCTGTCAGGCCACATGGCCTTTAGTAAGGCTGAGAGAGGCAGCTTCCTGGCGGGGCCTAGGAAGCCACCTTCCATTCCCAACTCGCGTCCTTCCCACCATGGCGCCCGAGAGCGGATTTCGCTAACTTGCTGCTCTCCCGCAAGCCCTCCGGCTCGCCTTTCTTCTGCCCTGGCAGGAACGCCCGTAACGCAGGAGACTCGCCTCCTCTCCCAAGTGCGGCCTCGCTTCCCCGCTCGGCTCTCAGGAAGGGGAGGGGGTGCACCACGTGCGTTCTCTAACTCTGGACAACCCCCCCCCCCGCAATCNCACTCGGCCGCCAACGGTCTCGGGCGCGCGGCCTCGCCTCCTTCCTTCCCTCCCTCCCTCCCCCCCCCGAACCACTTCAGACTCGCGCCAAATTAGGCGGAGAGAGGGGGATGGTAAAGAGCAGGAGGCGGCCGGGCGCACGAGGGTCCCTCACCCTCCTCTTCAACGGGGCCTTCCAAGGCAGCCGATGGGCCGCGTCGAAAACCTGGGGAGTGAAGAACGGAGCGGCCAACGGTGAAAGGGGGAGCAGTATCGCCGCCGCCTCCTCGTACTTCTTTTTTCTCCCTCTAGCTTGGACCCGGCCGACTTACTTGCCCCCACCACGCATGCTTACCCTGTTTGTTTTCATTTAGTTGCCGCTCGAACTCGTCGAAGTCCGACATAGCTGCGGAGAAGGGAGGAGGACGTCCCCTGGTCCGGCCTAGCTACGGTTGTAATGTGGTGGCGCCTGCTAGCCCAGGACCTCCTCACGCAGTAGGCCTCAACAGCGCCTTCTCTGGGAGTTCGACAACTTCCGGTGACTGCTTCGGATGTGAACGGAAACTCTCGGCTATCTCCGGAACGCCCTTTGAGAAGAGGTTGGTCTCCCCCGCCCCCTACTTTCACCTCCCCCGAATCTCCCCAGAAGCTCTCGGGAAAGTCTCCCTCTCTAGGAAAGTTCCGGATTCTTATGGATAGACTCGGATACTCTTTTTAACGTCATTTCCTTCGTCTTAAAACCTTTCGGGTGCCTGACGCATGCCTTTGTATTCCCGCTTAAAACAAAACAAAATCCCAAAAATAAAAAACCGTGGCTTCTTAAAAATAAAGGTTCTGAAGTATTTTCCGCCGGATGTTGCTTGAGTGCTTCCTGTGGATTTTTTACAGAGTGCCTGTACGGTGGCTGGGCTTTCAGTGTCAATGTACAAAACAGAGGAAGAACGAGAGCAGTCTTTTTTTTAATCTTAATTGTTTTCATTTGTGAAATATACTAAACTGAATAATTTCACATGCTGGACTTACATACCATACTGTGGCGCTAAAAAAGACGAAGATGCTTAGCATGTTGCATGGATGTAGCTATATTTTCAGGGCATATTAAATCATGTTATATGAACACACGCACCCTCATTCGATATGTATTGAGTGTCATGCAAACCTAGAGAATTGGTTCATTTAATAAACCCTGAATAGCCTTGTTTAAACATATGAGCACAGACAAGCATGGGAAGTTGTTAAAATGTAGGCAATGCATACTTGGTAGATTTTTGTATTCAGGTTGCCAGTTGGCACTGAATTTTTACTAAAATACTTGTAGGGATGTAATTCATAAACACTATTCTTTCCAGGGCAACTGTTCTAATATAAAGAGCAGTGCTATTTTTCCTCTTTCACAAGGATCATGCTAATTAATGTTATAGAAAGATAACTGCTGATTTTTATGTTTTTGAAAGGGAACACACATGTTCCTAAAGCTTGTGTAATCTGTGTAACAACCTAGCATAATTTTGTCTACAGGACCACCCTGTGCTACTTTATGATGCATTTTCCTGCATATTTTCTTAAGGAGTTATATTTTCATCTTCCATGTTGAATTTTATCAGCATGAAAGTTTCTCCATGTCTTTATGAAAATTCAAAAGTGTTACCTATTTCTTTTTTCTAATGCACCACTTATTTGCAAATTCTCTCTTGAACTTACTGTGCTCTCATTTTAAACATATTTTTCTGCCTTTTAGGAAACTTTGAAGTGATGTAGGTTCTGTATACTATTATACACTTATAAATCCCATCTTTCTACAAATTTAACTGGGAAACTAACCAGTGCTCCCATCTTACCAAGGGAAAACCAACTGAACAAGTCCAAATGTAATCCAGGAATTCTCGGAGAATGAAGGTGTTGGAAGTGAGCACCCACCCACCTTCCTAGAAAAGGAAATACTTTGGAGAATATTAAGAAGGCAGAATATTATATTTCCCCAAAGGAATAATGGAGAAAGAAAATCTTAAAAGCAGCCCCTGCCCCCAGTAGAAACTGAGCAGGCCAACTTTTAGAAATGCAGATTTGATAATCTCATTCATAAGCAAAATGCCTTTAGACACAACCCCAGAGAACGTTTGAGCTGATGGGATTAGAAAAACAAAGATTTCAAGGACAGGAACATGACCTTTAGGACATAATAGGATTAACCCACCACCATTAGAAGAATACCAAAAGGGCACACTCAAGCTCAGGTCACAGTACGTGGAACAGGAACAACCTCGAATACAAAGCCCAAAGAAGATATAAAAACCCACCCACTCCCAACTCCATTTTGTCAGACACCCCAGAAACATGCTGTGCTGTGTCACTGAAGTTTCTGGTAATTAAATAAACAAGAACTTTCTTTCCCAAGCAGCCTCCATTTTATTTACTCCTGGCTTGGACTGGATCTGAAGATTTTTCTTTCAAAAAGGAAATTGGACTTTTCCACTCTAATAATTCACACATTTGTTTTCCCAGGCTATATATTTGCCCCATTTTGCAATGTGTTACACAAGGTTATGTAAAAAAAAAATACATAGTACAGAATGTTATACCAAAATGTTCTCTTTAATTTAAATTCTGTTTTAATAAAATGTTTAATGTTTTCTTTTTAATTTCTTTTTTAACACAGAAAACCGATTGGAGAGAAAGAAATTACAGGCACAGTAGGAAGAGTTCGCTAATTACACTGAATAAAAAGGAAGTACCCTCAAGGAATGCAATATATATTTCTAGTCCTTGCATTCAAACACACTTCCTCACAAACATACTGGGGGAGGGAGTAAAATTGCCAGCAGAAAAATCCAGTTGAGGGCTTGGAGTGGGACAATAACTAGGGAAAAGTTTTAGACAATACCTTCCAAAACTATGAGGTAAAAGATGTAGTAGGGGCTCAGGATGTGAGACCATCTTTGGGAGACAATAGGAAAGCAGAGGCAGCTCAATTCTGCAATTCTTCCAATCATAGCAAAATTGTAGTGAAAATTGAATGGTAACCACAACAGCAGCAAAAAAAGAATTGATAACAGTACCAGTAGCATCTTCTAACACAGTGTTTCTCAACCTTGACAATTTTAAGGCACGTGGACTTCAACTCCCAGAATTCCACAGCCAGCAATGCTGGCTGTGGAATTCTGGGAGTTGAAGTCCACGTGCCTTAAAATTGTCAAGGTTGAGAAACACTGTAAATCTAACAACTCAGAAAACGCGGAAAAGGTTTTCAAGCAAGGAGAGGTAAAACTACAGAAGTGCATCATGCAACCTTATTTTCCCTCTTCCAGTTTAGAAAAGAATAAGTTCTGTTGGTTAGAGTGAGTTGGCGCTCACTGAGGCAACTCCTCTTCCTCAGGCTACTGTTATTTAACCTACTGTTAGATGGTGGCCCTTAAGGTAAGACCAAATCACCCTAACCAACAAACTTGGGAACATAACTGCTGCTGACAGGGACATTTTATGCAAACTTTTACCATCTTCTTGTTATATCATTTGTTTTGACATACCCCAAATGACAGGAGTTTATTTAAAAAAATGTGTGGATTTATATCTTATGTGCAAGGCTATAATTACCATCAATAAATAAACTAACATTGTTAGCTGTTCCAAGTTACCTGTGCAACAATTACAATCAATCTATCCATGATGCTGTTTATTGTGGGATAGGACACATTATGTCTGCCAACTGCTCCTTCGCCATTATATCTCCTCTGGCCAAACTCTCAAATGGAAGGAGGGAAAATGAAAGCAATCTGGTAGCTGTGGGGAAGGCTTTAAAGAGGGAAGCATAGATAGGCAGATCTGTAGTCAAGTAATAATCCTAGGAAACCACTCCTAAGCTGGTCCTTCCTGTGAAACAGCGGCTTCATTCAGTAAACCTAGGACAGTGGTGGGGAACCTATGGCACGGGTGCCAGAGGCGGCACTCAGAGCCCTCTCTGTGGGCATGCGTGCCGTTGCCCCAGTCCTAGGCCTTCAGCTGGGTTTTTTAAAAACCTTTTCGCTTTAGGCCTCCGCCGCCGTGTGCAAAAAAAAATATTCAATCAGTCAATTTCAACTTCTCACAGGAAGAAAAAAAGATCTTGCAAAGTTGGAATTGATTGGTTGAACTTTTTAGTCCCACCCAGTCTGCTGTTACCACCGCAGCCATGCCCAGCCAATGGGCCACACCCACCCGGCACTCAATGATGCATGTGGGTTTTGGGTTGCAATTTGGGCACTCAGTCTCTAAAAGGTTCGCCATCACTGACCTAGGAAAAGGTGGGAGGTTATTGTGCATCATGATAGAAAACTCAATACTCTGAGAGTTTGCTGAATAATGGATGGGGGTTGGGGGGGGTGCAGGAGGTACAAAGAAAGGGAGGTCAAAGTGCTGGCAAAGTAGGTTCCGGCAGTAGCTCCAGGAGAGAATTCATCGCGTGTAACATTCAGTGATCGGCAGAAGTTGCTTGGGTGGCGCAGCAGGAGAAGGAACAGAGTTGCCAGCAGCTGAGCCAGGAGAGTCCGTTTTCCTCTTAAAGCGGTAAGTGATCGGCAGTAGAAGCTTGCTTTTCTTGAGGGCCTGCACTTTCTTGAGCGTCTCATCATCTAGTGCCATGAAACATCGCCGGGAATATTCAAGCAGACGCTCCTTAGATGGGTCAAACTCACCCACTTCAGCCAATTTTTCGGGAGCAACCATAAGGAGCTCTGCTATGGGGGTGGTCAAGGCCACAGTGTTACGGTCCACTCGATGATGTTCAAAGGCCCGACTCATGCTTTGCAGCTTCTGAAAAGTGTACAGGATCTTCTTATACCGGCAGAGAACTCCATCCACATCCTTCACTGTACGGTGAATTTGGGTTCAGGTGGACAATACCATGGAGGATAGAGACAAACAGCAGTGTAATTGAACAGCAAAATGCAGAAAGAGAAGAACAGCACCTCATGAACACCAGACATGAACGCCAAGAGGAAAATGAAAAATTGCCATTAAGGCAAGAAAGCAAGAAGTTGGGATGGAGAAGCAGATAAGGACATGATGTGGGAGGGTTATAATATGCCATATAGGACAGAAAAGGCAAAAAATAGATCAGGGATCAGGTTAAAAAAATATACATTTAAAGTTGAGAACGTCAATAGATATGAAAAGATGAATACAGGGACAGAGAAGATAGGTTGCAAAAAGAAGGAAAGAAAAGTCAAGCAGGAGGCATATATCATAATTGTCAAGATCAGAAATAGGAAATAGGATGGTGAGTAGTTTAAGGATGGATAAAAAAAAAAAAAGGGAAGGGAAGGGCAAGGTGAGGGGAGGGAGTGGAAAGGAGTACAGATTATTTCTTTTTACCAGGACTTAAGGCTTTAATGTGAGATTTGGATAAACTAAATCAAAATTTCCTGTTTCTATACATCTTAACAAGATATCCCTTACAAACATTTTAATGAAAGCTCTAACAATATCTTGCACTGCCCATATGGGTTGAGACTGTGAAGAATGTAAAATGTCTCAGATGCTCGGTTGCCTATCCTTGCAATACTGTAGAGATCTTGTTTTTCAAACTCTAGATTCTCCTTCCTACTTCTTCCTTTCTTTCCTCAAAATAAAAAAAGACTTATACTGCAATATCATAAAATCTCTTGTTATAATATTGTAAGGGTTCTGCTGGATCAAATCAAAATCATCTATTTCAGGATTTTGTTCCCATAATAGCTAATGAGATGCTTCCAAAAAGC